GCGCCCCTCTGCGCACCGACACCCACACAGCGGCAGGCAGGCGGGGCAGGGCGGGGAGAGATGCCCGGGGAGGCCGGCCCTCCAGCCGGACAGACACACGGACACGTGCGGAGAAAGGTGGAGCAACCACGTGTTATGGAAGGACTGACAGACTGGTCGGACAGAGGCGAGGCTGGGCTTTGGGGCCGGCGCACCTGGCACAGGGTGACAGAGTTGCCCTATGTGGCTGGGCCATTGGCCATTGCTGCCATCCGCTGCCCCTAGTTGCCAGATGATGACTTCTGGGATGGAGGACATCACCTAGGCCTGGCTGATACCTTCCCTCTGAGCCATCAGCAGATCCTTCACTGAGCCCCGCGGGGTCCCTCTCCCCCCCCCCTCCCCGTCTTGAAGCTCAGCCCCAGCAGGTGCAAACCTGGGTGTGGGGGACTGGCTCAGAGGAAGAACCAGCTTCCAACGCCTGCTCCTGGCCCCCACCCTACTTTGGGGCCTTGTCTGCTTCAGTATCCCAAAGAGCCTCTGATTATTGCACCCTTACTAAGCCGCTGGGGGGCTCCCTAAGTTCCCCGTGGAATGATTTCTAGATATCGACTTGCCTGGGAATCCCACTGAAGGCGGTTTGGGAGAGGGGGCTGCCATGGTCTAGGCAGCGGGCCCACTTGGGTGCATTTCATGAATTCATCCATGAACTATGGGGTTGCCCACGGTGGTCATCTCTGAGTCCCCGTTTGATCGAGGGACCTGGAGCTTAAGGAAACAGGGACATTCAAAACCGGCTGTTTCAAAACCCCAGAGATCTGCCTCTCATTGGAAATTGGTCCTCAAAAATAAAACATGATGACAAAGAGGTTTGCCTGTTGTTGATTCACCTTGGGGAGGGAAACAGAGGAGGGCCGGGGGTCAGGATACAAGGAAGAGAGTCAGCCACATGCTCTGCAGGAATGGTGTGTGTGTGTGTGTGTGTGTGTGTGTGTGTGTGTGTGTGTGTGTGTGTAGACAGACAGGCTCTAAAGGGGGGTGGTATAAGGGCCAGGCAAGGAGGCTGTTGGAAGGCAGGAAGGGGGAACCCTCTCCACTCCCAGCTTCCCTTGGCAGCCATTCATCCTGCTTCTCCACTGTGTGGTTTACCCCTACCAGGACCCAGGCTGATGTGGGGGTATGGCTGTGCTGTGGGTCACAGGCCCAGAATGAAGAGGAATCTGAGTCCTGAGAAAAGGGACTTTTTGAGAAGCCCTTTGTCCAGCCCCGTGTGTTTCCTTTGTGTCTGACCAAAGGAAAGAGCAGAGCAGGGCTAGGACTGGAGTCTATAGGTTCCCAAGCCAGGTCTATGTCTTCTGCACAAGGGGTGACCTTGATCTTCCTGAGCAGACACTAGTGGATACTGTAGTGGAGTCTGTAGAGAATGGACATCCTTGTCGATGAGTGGATTTATCTATAAGCCATGCTCTTTGGCAAGACAGTCTGTGTATGTTTTGGGGTGGTGGAGGGTGTGTGTGTGGGGTGACTCACTTGGAGACCTTGCAGAGGGATCTAGTCCTAAACAGTACACTAGCTCCTCCCACAGGAGCATTGATCCAATGGGAAATCCAATGGGCTGCATAATGTTGGCTCTAGCTTCAGGGAGTTGGATTATGATTCTTTGCCTACCTAATTATATCTATCTATTTATCTATCTTTCTTTCTATCTATATATCTGTCTGTCTATCTATCATCTGTCATCCATTTATCTACTTATCAAACATCATTGATTTATCATTTTTCTATCAATCATCTATTGTTTATTACCTATCATCTATATATCTATCATCTACCATCTGTATCTAGCATCTGTTTATCATCTGTCATTTGTGTATCCATCATCTATCCATATCTACTATCTACATTTATGTATTGTCTATTATCTATCATCTGATTATCATCTATTTATCGTGTGTCATTTGTGTATCAATCATCTATCAATGATCATTTGTCTATTATCTATCATCTGTCATCTATTTATCATCTATCATATACCTAGCTTTCATTTGTCTATCAGTTATCTATCTACCTATCTCTCGGTAAGCTGTCATCTCTCTGTCTTTGTTGTCTATCTATCTACAAAAATGTGTATTGGTATGACTCACTTGAAAAACAGAACTGGAAGTGGAGCTGTGGTTCAAAGTGGTGGAGTGCTAGCCTTTATCAAAGGAGCTCAGGGACAGCACCCAGACCCTGAGTTCAGAAAACAGAAGAACATAAAAACTATTCACTATCAGTATTGAGCTTTCCTTTGACCTCTTTCTCTTTAGTTGGGCATCTCTCTAAGTATCCTTAAATGGGGAGAGCTTGCTGGCTAGCCATCCCCCACCTCTCCTGTGTCACACCTTGAATGGCTGCCCAGCATTGTAAAGATGGGAGCAGGGTTTTTATTTAACCAGCCCCCTGCTACTGGGCACTTAGATAGCTTCTGTTTTCCACATGTCTAGACAACCCTGCAATGGACCTCCTGAGTGAATTTGTGCATGTCATTATGGTTATCCTTCATGTCAGTGGGTAGGTCTGTTTGTTTTTGGGGTATTCTGAATGGGTTTAGATGTATAGGAAGGGCATGTTCTGGCGCCCAGGAAAGCACAGTGGTATCTGGTCTCTGCCCCTTGAGGGTGAGGGTTAGGAAGGCAGGAAAACCATTGCCGCCATTTTTGTGAGGATATAGCTGTTTCCTGTGAGTTTTGCTGTCAATGTTCTGGAGCATCTCATGGTGGGGCTAAGGGAAGGAAAAGACATGGGCTCCTGCGGAGTTGGGCAGGGAACACATCCTCTAATGCCACAAGCTCAGAGCTGTCTCGGAGCTGACTCAGAGGGAGGAAACTCATAATGCTGGAACAGCGTTTCTCTGCAGAGACCTTGGAGGGTACTGTGTTTTTCCCTCCCTTTTTACAGATGGGGAGAGGCTGGTGGTCCATGCCTGAGACCCAGGATGCTGAGATCTGAGGATTCAAGTGGTTTGAAGCTGGCCTACGCAGACAAACCTGTGAGACTCTTAATCGCCAATTAAGTGGAAAAGAGCCAGAAGTGGAGAGGAGATGTAGCTCAAGTGGCAGAGTACCAGCCTTGAGTGAAAAAGCCAAGCAAGAGCGCAACACCCTGAGGTCAAGCCCTTGTACTTGGCACCTACAAAGACGTTTACTGAACCAGTAGTAAGCTTGCTCTTTCATTCCAATGTGGCTGCCTGCCTGCCTGCCTGCCTGCCTGCCTTCCTTCCTTCCTTCCTTCCTGCCTGCCTTCCTTCCTTCCTTCCTGCCTTCCTTCCTGCCTTCCTTCCTGCCTTCCTTCCTTTCTTTCCTTCTCCTCCTCCTCTTCCTTCTCCTCCTCCTCCTCCATTTTTAAATAGTTGTTGAAAGAGGTTTCAACTCAAAAGTCAGCATGAGTACAAGGCATCTTGATCAATATCATCCCCTCTAATGTTCTCTTCCAGAAGGGGGTTTCTTATGATGAGCTTTGTCTTTTTTTAATTTTATTTTTAATTTTAAGTATAGCCTTGGGCTCTAGAAGGGAGAGCAATGAATGTGGGCTGAGTTGGTTCTACATGGTTTCCTGGAAGGAGGGCATAGAGCAGAACCCAAGTATGAAGAATAATTGGGTAACATGGGCAACGTTTAAACAAGAGAAATAAAAGTGACATTATTTCTGTGGTCAAGATCAAATGCAACATCACACGCCAAGTGGTTAGTATGGTTTCTGACATGTAGCAAAATCTCAATAAATGTTGCTTCTAAACATTCAATGTCTGTTTGTAAGAGAGCAAAGAAAAACATTGTTCTTAGGTTTCCTATTTGCTTTTTTGTTCCCCTGGTCACAGGACTGAGCTATCTTTGGTTATGAAAATAGATTTCAGTGTTCAGAAGAATGTCAGCTGCCAGACTGACAGTTTTTAGAAGCACATTTGAGTCTAATTTGAAAGTTGCTTTTAAAATTATATTGACCAAGAAGTGGTGTATTCTTTTTTAAAAAATTATTTTATTGTAAAGATGCTGTACAGGGGCAGTTACAGTTACTTGAGTAAGGCAATTGTTATGCCAAGGTCGCAGGACCCCCCACAAGAAGACCACCAAGAGTCAGACTCTACAGCTGTTTTATTTAGACGGGCTGCAGCTCGGACCTGGTCCTACACTCTGACACAGCCGAGCCTAGGAGGAGAGCCCTGAGCTAAGGATTTGCAGGTCTTATATAGGCACACAATCAACCAGGTGTTTTGATTATCACCATGTGTTGCTTTGCTAGACAGAAACAAGCAACACATGGTGGTCACTGCCTCAAACTTTAACCTTTCAGCAATGAGTACATTTCTTGTCTAGCATTGTTACCCCTTCCCTTGTTGTTTTCCCACTATCCCTTCCCTCCCCATCTCCCTCATTCCCTCCACCCTAAGTTGTAAAGTTCATTTCCAATATACTGTCTTGTGGGTATCATTGTTGCAATGGGTCATCCTGTGTCCTTGTTTCAGCATTTTGTTATTCCCCTTCCCCTCCCCAAATTAGACAAATGTATATACAAGATGCAGGGTACCAAAATCAAGAATGGATCAAGAAAATGTGATATATATATATATATATATATATATAAATTCTATGCTTCCATCAGAAAGAATGACACCAAGCCGGGCGCCAGTTGCTCATGCTTGTAATC